CAATGTAATAAAAATGATAACATTATAATTATATCATAATACTACGGTATGCAAAAATAAACGTCTTCAATGGAAAAAATTATAGTACAAAAACTCAGGAATAAACGAAAAATATTATATCTGACTATCTAACATGAAACCATATTGGATTGTAATGATCCGATGCAACAGTTTCTTGACGGATACTCAACCGGAGGAAAGTAGTAGAATATAGCTGTCACTTAAATATGTTGTTTGGGTAATTCATCAAGTGACATTTATACGGTTCTATACATTGAAGTCAATAATGTTTTATAAAGTATGGCGAAYMATAAATTGTATTACAATCACATAATATATGGGTGCAAAATATTATTGAGTTCTTGACAATCCAAAACATTATACGTGAGAGGATTGACTCACGTCGGATACATTTTCAGTCCGCAGAGGTACTCTCGTGCGTGCTCAATCTCTTTTCCCTCTTCTTTTCCACTTTATCTCTTTCTACCCTTTTATATCTCTCTCTCACTCYCTCTTTCTACACATCTTAGTTATTGGACAACCGTTAAATTATGACAGTACGTTTTGTTCCAAAAACATTCAGAATGGAGTAAGCGAAATCAAACGAATTTTCTGATACGCGTAATAGACGACTTGTACCTATCTTGTACAAGAAGAACGCACTGTGTTAATTATTATACGACGCGGACGTGAGAAACGAACGAAAACGGAACGCGCGTAATGATTYCGCGATCGATGATAATATTATCAGTTCTTCTGTCTGATTCCATTACACTGAGGTATACGACGAGGTCGTTATTGATATTGTGGCAGTATATAGGAGTGGGTGGGCTGAGAACGCAGGCAGGGAACAGCAGACGAAATTTATTATCGTAAACGCGTCCGGGGGAGTTCACTTTTGCAAATTAAAATCCGAATAGGCCATATTTTACATTTACGGGGCACGTAATCCCCGGGCTTAACGTTGTCTTGCCAGACACGCAGGTCGCGACCGTCTTGCGAGGAAAAACGGATYGTATACGCACGAAAACAACAACAACTACAACAACTGCTGTTTTAGTGCCTCGTCGCCGTCGCCATCGACGAGGATCAGCGAACCTGTGCACACGGCCCTAAAAAACGATTTAATGTGTATGCGAGGATGCACGCGGCGGATTATACGCGAAAACGACGACGACGGCGTTGTTGTTTGGCCGTCGGATTCCGGTCGTCATCGATATTTTATAAAAATAATAATAATCATGATACGGACGGTGTATTCGAACAAAACCCGCGTTCTCATAGACGATATACATACATAAATATATATATAGCCGTCGGATCGCAGACAACCGGAAACGCGCGAGTACGACGGATATAAATCACCACGCGGYGCATGGTATATCCGATCAAAGTTTTTTATCCCTTCGGCCCGTCTCACCGCTATCCAAACGCCATGCACATTATACATACGTATTATGAGTCGAACAGGTTTGTATACTGCGCGGGCGGCGTCTCCGCCACACACCGGCACATCGGTGGAATGACTATATATATACGCGCGCGCGTTGTACCGTCTCTAAAGTTTTGTATAAGCACGACGTAAACATTATGTGCGTGTGTATCGCATATCGAGGATTTCAATAATACGAGCGCGAGGTTTAATCTAGACAAATGTATACAAAGATGTCGGGATTATCGTTGTATACGAACATAATAAATATTATATGCGCCGGATACGGTTTACGACGCGGCCAACGACTATGTATTTATATATGTATATATATATATATATATATATATATTGATACCACAGTAGTGGGTAATCTTTTTCCCGATCGTACGCAAGAATTGCACGAAGAGTTTGGCGGCGTGGACGGTGCGATGTGATCRTATYGAGGGAGAGGGGGAAACGATTCTGTAACGATGCGATACAATTGCTACGAAATATAATAATATTCGAGTTAGGGAATAGTCCTCCGTGGAACGACCGAGACACGATACCGKCGTCATTGCATAATAATAGGTATAGGTATACAATTTTAATGCATCGAAAAAAATAGTCACATAATCATATCGATRAGCGTGAAATCAGAGCTTATGACCTCCAAGTTGATTATACACAACAACAAAAAATAGATAAACATTTTTTAGATTATTTAGGTCCGTATTGTTTCAATGAAATGCCATTGCATTTAAAAAAATATTTATTTTATAATGTTAATGATAATTCTAACCGTATAATAGACGAAAAATCTACTTTAAATTAGATATTAGGTGAACTAGTAAACTAGTTTTAGGTATTATTAAAAGTTGTAAAAAATTATGTATGTATAGAATTTTTTTTTATATAGACATATATTTATAAATTATTAAGAAACTTGTACAACTCATGTATCTCACCACAAGTTTTGCTTTAAAAGATGCATTAATTTTATGTATATTACACGAATTTAATTTAAATTTAAATTTAAAAAAAAAAAGTCTTGTAAGTTATACCCCACGGTAGGCTTTTATTCGGTTTTTTTTTTTTTTTGGTAATAATTGACGACGAAAAACACGGTAAGTAAATGTAGTACAGTATTATTGGAGAAGTCATTAAATTTGACAGTAGCAGAATAATCAGTAGCTGCAGCGGTGTACGAAAACTTTTAGACTGGTCCTTTTTAATACCACTGTAGTAGCTATTAATAGTACCTCACATCTTTTGTGACTCGATTGGAACTCAAAAAGCTGCGTAAAGAGTTTTTGTTTTGTTTTGTTTTTTTTTTGTTTTAATTATGAGTTTTGCAGATGGAACGACGACGACATCTTTCGTCTTTCTTGTACTTAAAAATTAATTGCCGAAGAATTTTGCGGGAACGCTCACGTACCGCCATACAGACGCGTACTAACTCCTCTCGCGGTTTGAGTGTGTTTACCACCGTCGTTACTCGGTAGCACACTCGTAACCACGTTTATTGAATAAAAAAAATTATGGTCTCACCGCATAGGGTTTATTTGGCGTATGTACGGCAATAATATGGTATAGTGACTTTGAACTAGAATCAAATTGAATTCGCGCTGCATCGAAATAACGAAGGCGCACGTGAAGACGGAAAACTAGAAATACATCGTATACATTAATTATAATAATAATAATAATAATAATAATAATAATAATGTGCAGCCCTCGTCGTTTGCATTCCAATTGCGGCTGCGACGCCCACACGCGGAGTGATTAAAAACGATTAAAATACCGACCGGACAGCCGACGGTTTAACGACGTGGAGGATTTAGGTGTTGAGAAACGCATACGATGGTATATAATATAATATATATTGTAATTGGCCGTAAACACAGCACTCGCGACGCGCACTCATTAATCGCCATTACGACACGACGACAGACACCACTGTAGTACTGAATCGTATAAAAGATGTATAATCCTCGTGCCAATGATAAGCAYGTGCACAACGGCTCTAAGGTCAGTGATGCGCATTCACTGCAATGGYGGTTCCTCGATACACGACTGCGTCTAGTGTAGTTATGTCAAACGATAATAATTTTTAAAAACCTTTATAATATTTTGGATATAATAATAGTGGCGACGTGAAAAACTGCGTTTTGCTCCTCGTAATTTTTAGTGGTCTAGYTGTTTTTGTTCAAATATCAACCGTACAAATACAAATATTATACGAACGTACAATTAATGTATAATTGTTATTATACGACGGTTATTTAAATCGATCATAATATGCGCGATGGTCAGAATTTCAGCAAAAAACAGGTAACACAAACGGCGGCGACGGATGAGGTCAGGCTAAACTAAAATAATCATATCATGTCAACGACGTTTGATCAAAAACTCTTTAGATACAATACAATATTATGTTAAAACGAAATGCATTGATTTGTGTATTGACCAATAGTGATTACCATAATATTGCGTCGTATACYCAACGAAAATGTTCGACGTCTYCTTCTCGTCTGATGCGTATGTGGAACGGTTTTAAAACATGATCTCCTTGCGACCATGTACCAATGTCCACGGTTAAATAATATTTCAAAAAAAAAAATAATAAAATGGCAAATCGTATCAGGACAAATATATCAAACAAAAAAAAACCGACGAGCAGGGCCAAACAAGAATTTTAATTTTAAGAATGTCAAAAATATTATTGTGCCTCGCCATTTGGTTATAGTAGTTATATGTATCATCATATTATCTGGTGTACTTAGAGTTATCGTTATGCGTATCCATCGCGTCACAGAACGCACTCGTACTTGTATAATAGGTACCCATTAATACCTTATGCTATATATATGCGAAAAGAGGAATGGTATGATGGAATTCGGAGACGATGTCGTGTCGTTCGTAATAATTATTTCCCTGGTACTGTTCTGTACACATCGCATCGTTGTGTCTAATTTGAAAACTTCTGCCATTTTAGCCGCAATTAAACTGAAAAACTTTTCATCAAATGTTCATTTTTTTTTTTTTTATTATTATTGTTATTAATTATATATACAGTCACAAGAAGGGCAGGTAGACGGAGGGAGAGTGACAAAAACAATTGTACGGCAGATTGAAATTTACGTTTTTGCGTTCACGACTATATTATATCGCCATACGTAATATTATTATATAGCGTTGTCGGAACACGCGACAATCACTCGCCACGACGAACGACGAACTGCGCACGGTTTACGTGCACATTTTATAATATAATATATTAATACGTATAATTCGGTTAAACCGTACCGTTCACGAAATCCGAGTAAAAATATTCAGATAGTAATTCCTAAAAATAATTCTCCAACGAAATCCGCGGTAATATCTTACCTTTGCTGACCCCGGAGAACTTGTCCCTGAGCAAGTTCAACTGGTACACTCGACCAAACTCGCCGAACATGTCCATCAGATCCTGTTCGTTCATCGCCCTGGGKATCTGGCCCACGAACATTTTTATGTAATCGGTTTCCGGTTGTTCGCCGTCGTTGCTGCCATCGGCCGTGGACGCACATGGGGTAGGAATGGACATTTCTATATCACTGAAAGTGGAAAAAAAAATAATAAAATATATGATGTATGACTCAGTTACATAACGTTATAATAATATCATAATACTACGGGGGATGATGGGACGTCGAAGAATTAATGTAATCCGATCTACT